TTATTCTAGAAGCTTGCCAATATGGGGAGCATGTTTCTGACTAAATAATATTTTTGTATTGTCACGCAGGAGAGCCTACCCAGCACAAGGTACTCAGCACAAGGTTTCGAGTTTCTAGCCATGGATTGCTATTCCGTAGTTGAACAGTATGAAATTCAATAAGAATTTTCTCAAAGGTTGGCCACATGTATCGCGTGTTGAATTCTGTAAAAGTACCTACGCATGTAAGCTTTAAGTTATATTTTTGTTGGCATTTTAAGATAAATTATTCATAACCTAATTAGCACTTTTGAAATTAAGTTTCATCGTTATGAGACTTCCCAACCTCTGACCTGTGTTTTATAATTGCACATTTTTCTTCATACCAAAGGCTTACAAAATTGTAGCTAATTCTAATGAGCAGACCATACCGAGTTTTTTTATTGTTGCTAGGTCAAACACTGTAATATTAGCGTCAAGTACCAAACCATACATAGATATTATGGCGAATGCTGCCATATCCATTGAGCAAAAAAGTCCCTTGATTCAATCCGATTCAATCAGAAGAAGAGCAGGCTCAAGCAAACTTGTCGTTTAAAAAATATTTATTTGTTTACGTATTACTGTCAGCTACCGTTACTGAAACAAGGCAACTAAACGTGAATTCAGAACATAAAAGTAACCCTCTTGCAACGAAGTTTATGTTTCCACAAACCTTCCCATTCTTATCAAGACTAGAAAAACATATAAACACCTTTATTTGACATTAACTAAATATCGTTACACTGAACACCTACATAAATCTATTTAAATATTTGTATCCAACCCCTAACAATAAGAAATTTCAGTAACCCTCACGTCTGAGATTTCAGGTTAAGCCATTAATAATGTATAGCTAATAACCAATTCATTAAATTTATCAAGTGGACACATAAACTCCTAACATATATCATTTGTTGGAGGTCAGTTAAATATATAGGATCTCTATTCATAAGTGCATGCACACATAAGTACAGAGAATGTGAGGGTATACAATATTGGTAATTATCGGATACATAAATATATTGATCCAAAAAGCGTTATTTAGAATGTGTTCCCGTAAATTGTTTTTTACATTTTTCTGCATACCCATTGTCCTAGGACGATTTGTGCATTGTGTAAATTCCAAGATGGTGTCCAACTTTCCTGACTTACTTCGTAATTTAAGCAGTTGTGACGTGCAAATTATGTATTACAATAATAATCACAACCAGTTGTCTTTCAATGATATAAGCTTGGTATTTACCACAATTTTCATGACAAAGTATGAATATATAAATCGATGGGCAACGATTAAAGGAACATATCCTGTGATTTCCTACGATTACCACCTAGCCCTTGATGTTCTGCGAACTCGAATTTCTCTCTGTCGATTAAGTTTTATTTTGAGTACTAATGTAACTAAAAATATTTCGGATAATTCCTTCCAATATTTCACAGCTAATTGGGTAAAAGCCGCATCAAACAAATATCTTCACTTCACGGCATTTTTGGGACCATGGCGTCAATATTATTTCATTCAAAATACAAATTCTGTTATTACTCTTATTATAAGAAAGTCAACTGTGTCAAGAATAGTTGGACTTATGTTCGAAGTACCACTGTTCTACTATTTCTCTGTGATTCTAATTTCACGAGATAAAAATTTTGAAATGATATTACCATAGATTTTGTCAAGGGATAGGTACTCATGGATGCATGCAAAAATCTCAGAAATAGATCTGAGATATGAGAACTTCGTTTCTGTGGTGGAGAAACACAGCCAGCAGCGGGAGGAGTGGTGCACTGTTGCCACATATGACCAGAATTACGATGAGACTATTAAAGATAAATACCACTTGGTTACGGACAAAGTCACCATTAATCAATTAGTCTGGCAGATTTACTCATGGGTAAACAGAAGCCTATTAACACCTTCTCACATGCCAAGAGGAATTTGCCATGTCCAACTTAAACGCTTTAACGCTGTATATCGACCTGGGAGTGATGCCACACTTATCATAACAAATTATGAAGGATACACTTTTTTGACATGTTACGGAGAACCATATATCAGTTTAAACTTTTATCTCACCCCGTTTAAACCTGAACTTTGGGTTACGTTGGGCATAACGATCTGCACAATTATCGCCTTAGTGATAGGGGCTCAACGTATTTGTAGTCTATTGGAACAACAGCCATTCTCCATTTGGATGTTCGTTTAAGCCTCACTTCTTGAAGAGACGGGTTTCATGCCTAGTAGAATCGAGAAACATACCTTCTTCCGAATCTTGCTAGGGGTATGGACCATCATGGGGGTGATTCTGACCAACGGTTACAACGGGATTATGATATCCGAATTAAACTCGCCAAGGAAACAATCACATCCGAAATTCTTTGACGATCTAATTTGCAAAAATAGGTTCAGAAATTTATCCAAAATATGGAACCCTGATAATAGAATAGACGATGAAATGGTGTGGTATTTTCAATTTCATGACACCCACGAGGAGATGCGTGACCTCTCTCATGTACTTTATTTGATAAAATACTTCAATATGAGTGTTGACATAAACACAACAAATGTGGATAGTTCATGCTTCCGGCTTCTCTCGCAATTCAAACCCGTCCCCGATGAACAAGTTCAACCTGAATTCTTTTCACTTTTGCTAAATCTCGCTACGGATTCACAAGATTCCAACCTTAACACATATCGTGGTGCTTTGAAACTCTTCGCTTCAAATGGTGCCTTCTTTCCCGTTGGATTTAGCTATTTGAGCCAAAATTTAAATAGTTCTGTCCTACAGAAAATTATTGAGCGCCAAGTTGTAAAATGCGAGAAGACCGTTTTTATAGCAAAGTCGCCCAAGATTAAAATTGAGTACGAATTCTTATCAAGAAAATACCCTCACACACATTTTGTGGTTAGTTCCCAAACCCTACTTAGTTACCCAATTGGTATATCGGTCCCAAACGGATTGAATCCTCGAGTTCTTACGGGATTTAAAAGTCAAACTGAAACCGGGGTTTGGGCCCACACAGAAGATTATGAAATAAGGGGGAATAATATAAATCGCACCGCCGCAATTCCAAGGAACAAGGGCGAGTACTTAAAACCCAAAAACATTGCCTCCCTTAAAGGTACATGGATAACTCTATTCATCCTTGTCGGATTTTCAATTAGTTCAACCATTCCCTTGTTTGCAATAGAATGTAGGCGATACGTCGGTCTTTTAATTAGTAAAATATATCGAGTGTTTTTATTAAGACGTCATCAAAAGTCTACAAAAATGGCGCTCAATGATGCTATAGGCATCGCTGTTGCTATTTGTGATGCAGGAAATATACACAACTAAATAAACAAAGAAATAAACAGTACATTTGTGCATGCTTGCTTATAAAACTCAGATTTAAAAAATATTTTTTGTTTCTTTCTATCTAGTAATATGTCATCGCTTAGACAAAAATTAACATCTTTATATTATAGTGCACCATGTCCAGTCTGATTTTACATCACCTATAAGTAGCAAATTTTTAGTGTTATTATATCCATAATACCTCAACCCACAAAAACCCGGGGTAGCGAACCCTGCCGACAGGTGAATTGATTTACATCCGAATTTTCCGCAGTTTCCGAATTTGCCACATCGAGACATTTATTTCATAGTTTTCCAACAATTTGGAATACAGGTCGACCACCCGGTTCGGTTAAGTTTCCCTGTAAAATATATTCACAATTTTTTTACATCTTGTAAAAAGTTAGCTTATGAGGGGACGTGCATAAATTGTATGTATCATCGGTTGAGGAGGCAAAAAGGTCAGGCTGATTTGCCTCACATGTTAAAAAGCCATGTAACTCATGACAAGGGGGAAAGAGGATCTTTAAAATTTAAATTTGTCCGTGACACAATTTATGCATGTCCCCTGATTAAATGCTTCAAAAATTACGGTTATGGTGTCAGGCGACATCATTTCAGCATAAGAACGTGTTCAAAATGCAAAAATTATTTTAAGAGTTCAATTTTTTTAATAATAATGGTCATTTAATAATTATTGCTGAACTTTGAGGAAGTTATAACAGTTTCAGGTCAAAACTTAATACATACAACATGTGCAAAATGTAAAAAATGCAAATTTTCCCACTATAATGCACACTTTGCTTTTTTCCTTTATCAATCAATCCAGCCATGACTTAATAAACTCGTTAACAAAATCAATTTACTATATGAATGGCCTAGCGAGATGAAATTTATTCCATTTACAATAAAAATGACCTCATGACGTTTATTATTGTTGCTTATCTTTGAGGAAGTCGTTCCACATTAATGCAGGACAGGAGTATCTGAAGAAAATTAAGATTGCAAATTTTTGAACTATGAACGCACACTGTCATATTTTTTGTAAATTAAGTTTGATAATAAAATCAATTAATTTTATTCATATCCCTCATCATGAGCACGCATTTCTCAGTCAGTGATCTTATCTCGGAGTTTATTTATAAATGGGTGACTTTTGTACAGTAAAACAAATTATAAGTTCAGAATATAAGTGGATTTATTTATTTCATCAAGTTATCAAACCAGAGCACTTTTTGCAGTGATGTCATTAAAATCAGGGAGCATCCATAAATTATGTAGCGCAAAAAAATCTTGATTTGTCACACCATATGCTCCCCTTTTGTCACGGGTAAGACCACTTTTTAACATTTGGCGTAAATTAGGCCTGTCACTCCCACCCCTCTCAACACGTGACATAATTTTTGGACGCCCCCTCTAATAAGTGCCAACTTATTGCTGTGCAATCATAAAACCTATGGACAAAGTGATGTGTTCAGTTTTTATTTATTTAAATAAATAACATTATTATTCCTATTTAAGTTTATTTATAAATAAATAAAATAATTCTCATTCATTGAAGGACATTGAACTTATTAATTGAATACTTGGCGTCATATTTTCCTTAAATACCAGTGTCTTACTTTGGCTGGATTTATTTAATGAAAACAAGCGTCTTCTTGCGTTCACACAATTTTGGTTCTCGTTAAGATAATCAAATTATTTTTGGAAATTTTTCATTAACTTTTCGGATTTTGTTAAATTTGAATTTCACTCTATTTTTCGATCCTAGTTCATGATGGGTAAGTATTTAAAAATTATATTATATTTATTTATTTTATTTTTTTATCCAAATTTTAGCCCATGCTAAAATAATTTTTATCAAAGTTGATTTGCAAAATCAACCGAGGTGGAAGATCGAGGGGACATGGCGCCGTTTTACTTTTAATTTTAGTTTGGCATTAGTAACTTCGTTTAATTTTAATTTTTGTTTATTAATTTTTAGAAAATTTAAATTAAATTTGTGACGCATTTAGAAAATTGTAAAGTTTCATTTTTTTATAAATGCGTCACAAACTTAATTTAAGTTAAAAATAAAATATAAAAAGAAATTTCATTTATAGGATTTAATGCAAAAATTTTATAATTATGTAAAACGATGCCATGTCCCCGCACGCTACCGCTGCCTGGTTAAGGTAGGGGGCGTTCATAGATTATGTCATGTAAAAATTCCATTTTTTCAAACCCCATCACCCTTATCTCGGGTTACATGTCTTTTAAAAAGTGGCGCAAATCGGCCTTTCACGCACACCCATTACCCTCCCACCCTTGTGAACCGTCACATAATATATGGATGTCCCCTGACCAAAATTTGATTAATTTTATGTATTATTCTATTCCAAACTTTTCGCCAATAGGCCACCAAAAACTTTTATTTTTCGCCGTCTCCTCCATTTTGACGACCCTCCTCCACCCACCCCCAACAACGGCGCAGCAAATGGACCCTCAGAATTTGGCACTTTTCATGACCATGTCGGATTTCGACAACAACAAAATGTTCTACAAACCAGGCGAAGAAACCTGGGAAATGGCCGATTATGGAAAATCCCTCAAATCCATTAAAGAATACGAATTCATAGTCAGTGTATTAAAAGCGGGGGGGAATGATTCCACAAATCGGTGTCGTTTTCCAAGGTTAAATCTTAGCAGATTGTCTAATTTCCATAATTACTTAAAGGATTTTCTGTTTCCCTGGAACTTTTAGTTGAGCAAGTAACGGAATTCACTGGTCGCAGGATTTAGCCTTACCTGTTAAATCCTGCGAGAAGTCGGTAACCCTTCATCACTCGATTAAAAGTTACAGGGAAACAGAAAATTTGGAGCCTTTCTCATATTCCACCTTTCCTGGGATTGACTGATATTTTAATTTAACCAATTAATTTAGAATTTTAATAATTTTCTCTTCATTAAGGTCTCTCCGGTGCCCTTGACTTCATCGGAGCTCTCACCCTTCACAAAAACCAACTATTCTGGGACACTATTCTGTACCAAATCGACCAACGCATCCTCACTCAATCCATGTCCGACATGAACGCCAAAATCCAAGCCTTCAAATCCACCTTCCAACACCTTGACGAAAACCCCGTCGGCTTCACAATCACCGGATTTCGACAAATTGAAGAAATCCTGGCCCTTTTTTCCGAACAGGGCTCAATCTTCAGGAAATACCCCTTACACTCGTCCCCCCTCGTGTTAGGCTTCCTCCCCGTCATGACCGTCTATGTCGAATATGCCACCAGAAAATTCCCAAACATCGAGCGAGACTGGCGATCAATCCTCCTAAAGGAATCTATGTGTTAGAAGTCTACATAAACCTCGCAATCAAGACAAGGATCGATGCCGCGACTTCTCGATATTCTATCACTAATTCCCCTAATGGTTATTCTTTCGGCGATCAGCGTTTTGCTCTCAGGGATTTCGTCACCTCAAGCCATGCCTCTGAATTGGGAGATTTCCCCAAATATGTCCGATGTCGGAAGGTCGATCCTTCCGTGGGGTGTGACAGAACGGGTCGGAAGTACTGGAAACATTCAGAAAAGGAGAAAACCGATTCTCTCAAATTCAGCGTGGAATGCATCACAGACAACTTTTCGGGACAGGAAGTTCTCGCAGAATCCGCATTTACTGTTTGGAAAATAATTGGCTATAGTATGGAGACAAATTGGAATGCGGATAACAGAATGAATTGTTTAATCGATTATGTCAAAGTTATCGAATTCTTGTATGGAACCATGTTCTGGAGAGTGGGGTCGTTAATGATTTAATCAGTTTTTTTAACATAATTTATCCATAAAGTTTTAAAAATTCGAATTGTATCGATTTGCCAAAACTGTCCTCTTAATTTTTTTCAAAAATCTTCCTAAATTTACGTTGTGATGATTCCACTTTTCTTCAAAGTTATTAATAATTTGACAATCTATTTACAATAAAAATTCACCCAAAACTGCAATCTGCACGATAGATAACATTTGTAGGAAAATTAACTTCTAGCAATTTATTCTGCGACGCATGCATACGATTCTACAAACAAAATGGTGCATAATCTTTTACCTAAATTGTAATAAAAAGTGAGAAATAAAGTTCTAAAATTTACTCTGAGGGGACGTCCATAATTGATGTCACATGTTGAGAGGTAGTGCTGTTCACGAGCTCGAGCTGGCTCGGCTCGTTTGTCCGGAGCCGAGTTTCGAGTCGAGCCGAGTCGTCTTGAAAAAGCTCGATAAATAATCGAGCTAGCTGAATCTCTTGATAAACGAGCCGAGCTGAAATACGAGCGACCCGAGCTAACTCGCGATTCGGTTCGACTCGTCTACACTAATAAAAGATAGCATTTAAAATAGGAAATTGTGAAATTTCGTATTAAACTGTAATTATAACAATAACTTAATCTTCCACTTCACAATTGCAATATTTATTTTCTTTAAGATATGTAAGTACAACATTAAACATTATAAATCATTTACTTATGTCTAAAGATTGCACAAAGTTTCCATACCCTACTGCCTGTAGTAAATCATTTACTTGCCCAACCCAATCAATGGACCATACTCTCCATAGTTGGTTTTGATTAGTTGAGTTAGTTTTGTTACCGCGAGTGATGAATCCCATGGGCCTGCTTCATTGCTGCTGAATCGTATCCGAAGCGGAGTCGTAGGTGAAAGTGTTGATGATTATGCATTTAATAAATATTAAAATGCATTGAATATGTATATTGTAAGTTACAACAGAATAAAAAAAGATATAGACAGGTTTAATGAGACAATTTGAAATAGTTAATAAAGATCATTATAACCTGACCAAAAAAATATAATCCAATAAAGTAGTCTACGTTAAAGACTCCTTTTCCTTGTTGTTGCACTGTGTTGAGCCATACCAAAAAAATGGTTTTGAGGTTTCCTGCCATGCAAGTTAATGTAGGGTTTCGTTTGGTAAGAATCAAATTTGTCAGTGCAGTGGGAAAAAGTGGGAAAACAGCACTTTTTACCACCAACCTAAATTAAGCTGGAAATTGGAATAACTAGATATTATGGCATTCAGGAATCGGAACATCTCCTTCCAAATTTTCTACTTTATGAATCTGAAGGTTCATGTTATACCTTCAATTAAATTGTGAATAAAAGTTGCTGACAAGGTTCAGTTTGGATAACTTCTAAATATTGAAAAAATTAACATGAGTGTGAGAAATTGAGAGAAATTTCAAAATTTTTATATTGCCCGTGTAGCATATCAAAATTTTGAAAATTTCATGGCAATGACGAATATGAAGCAGAATTCAGAAAATACTGATTATTTAAAAAGTTATTTTTCCGCATAAGACATGGGCACTATATTAGTAGGAATGGCGGCTAACAATGGTCATAAGTCAACCAGCAATGGATAATAATTAACGGACTGATACATTTTCTTGATGCTTATCAATATCAGTATACTTGGGATATCCTGCCACCAGCGTATAACAGACCCTTCCAAAGTTTCTTATGTATTCTAGCTTCAACTACCAACGTTATAGCAAATGCGACCACCAAGAGTATCAAGTATATCCAAAATATTGTTTGAATATTCCCACCCAATGAAACGTCCTTTACAACATTTTCTCTTGGCTTCCGTTCGACCAAGGTATGCACCTGCTTGGTAATGTTTTCCCTCAATTCAGAAACTCTGTAGGGCCAAGCCTCTAACAGCTGGACAATTCCTGCCACATACAATCTCTCAATTATTTGAGGAGTCACTGGTTTACCATTAATATCAAAGTACCATCCTGACTCGGACGGAAGGATAGCAGAAGTTGCCTTAAAAAATTTTAGCCACGGGTAATATTTCTCGAAGTAGCGAATTTCTCGATTAATTTCAATTTCATCTAAAACTAGAGCAGTTCTTTTACATTTAACGAGCTCGTGTTCAATATCCCATATATTTTCGAGGTTTCTCATGTTCGACAAGTTTCCAAGTTGTGGGTGTGGAATGCGCCAAGGCTCAAGGAGGTCAAACATTCTCATTGCATGTATTGAATCCTTAGAAATTTTACCGGAAGACTCAAATAATGTCAGGACTATTTTGGTAGTCTCCCTTAACCGGAATAGTAGCCGGTTATAAAACACATTTGGTCCTATCTGGTACTTTGCTACGTCAATCTCAATTGGATATGGCAGCAAGACAAAATCACTATTTACATCAAATCTTCGTACAGATTTGTTAATAATTGATTCAAAAGTCTTATTAATACTGTTCGTCCTATCACCTTTGAAAAATTTTAATAAACCTTTGTAATCGAAAAATCTCCTCAGAGATATAATCTGCATATGCTTCTCAATGGTTTCTAAATATTTCTCGAATCTCTTCAATCTATCTATATGACATTTCCCGTTATCCCCGTTACACACGGGTTTGCTCAGCTGATCAAACCTAGTAACAGATATGTGTTCTAATGAGGCCGAAATCGACGTGATACTTAGTCCGAGGTAACCATTTGTCAATATCGGAATGAGCAACATCAAAACTCCAAATTGGATCCTAAACTGAATAGTCGTTTCTATTTTACCGTCAACCGTGGTCGGCTTTTCAAACATGTTTGATATCACGACCAGCTGTGCAAACGATATCGCTTCTACCCATTTCCATTTCAATTTTGTTGTCAGAATGAGAACTAACACAACTACTAAAATTGTCATGGTAAACAATATGATTATCCAAACTTCGAACTCAAATGGGTTTAAGAAAACTTTGAATGATACTGCCTCTCTAGAATAGCAGGTCATAAAAGAGAATCCTTGATTTATCGTTCCTATATAAGGGTTTATTGAAAATCGTTGGTGACTTTGAAAGTCCACCTGGATACGTTCGTCATATGTTCTACGTGCCTTGCCCCGGAGTTTAAAGGGAACATGTTTTCTTTTGGCATCACTTTCTGCTAAACCAAAGCTATAATTTCCTATACAAATGAGGCTAAAAAATATGGTGGCCCTGGGACGATATCGATCTTCACGCACTAGTCGAAAAGGACCTTTCCTGTATGCCTCGCAGGCATAAACTTTATCAAAATAGCCGTGCAAATTGAGAAATGATTCCCGTTTACTGGTCAGTACAAGATCGCTTGGTGGTTCGGTCAGATGGTGAAACTTCTCATGGTTACTAATTTTTTGGATGACGTCTTCACGTGAAATTAAAGTTAAGTCTTGTTGCGAGGGGAAATTCAAATGCCATGTTTCAATTCCATTCCCTAGAATCAAATATATAATCGACATAAAGATTATATCGCTGCCTTTAAGTCTGAAGTGGTTAACGGGCTGGCGATAGAAACCAATCTGAACTCTGACTATAAGAGAAGCCTTCCGATTTGCCCAAGTGTATAAGTAAAACACATGTCTGTGTTTTGAGTATATAGTATTTAATAAGGCTTGTGTTTGGTGTGTCATGAGGGTAGAATATTCAACATCCGAGATGCGTTCAAGGGCAATTTTAAAGTCGGATCTATGTGTTATAATGACACCGATTAAACAAGGAAATTGCCCCTTGCGTAAGCTTGCGAACATTCCGGTGGGGTATTTATGAGAATGACTGGTTTTCCAAGATGATGCATTGATTTTGGGGAGGTGGTAAATGTAGATTCCTTTTTTCGAGGGAAGTATGGACGAAAGCAGGTCAGAATTTTGGAAATTGTTATAATACGAGAGAACTAAATGACACTCGAAGTCAAGGTGTTGAAATAACGAATTAGTCAAATTTATATCAGATTTCTGAGAATTTGTGCATACTATACCAACAATAGCTAAGATTACAGATATACAAATATATCTTTCAACAAAAACTAACATTTTGAAACTTTGGGGGCACGGGATGCTTAAGGCTGCATATGCATATGTGAATCACATGAAAATCTATCGAAAATTATTGAATTTAGAAATCCCTATATATTTTAACTGGCTACATTTACAGGTAAATACCGGGCAGCTCATTCAGATTGACTGTAGGTTGGTGATGACATTAAATAATGGGAAAAGTTGCAGCACTTTTCGGTTAGCGTTGAATAAATTCTTTTTAATTCTATAGCGTATGTATGCTGTTGATAATGCCTAAACTTAAATGCCAAAATTGAAACTATCGTCTAGGCACTGAATAATTTATAATTATCAAACCCAGAGACGGACTTTAATTTGCTAAAATTGTCGAAATTGAATCGGTTTGCGACAATAAAGCACATTGCAAATTATGACTATGTTTGTAGTCTTTCTTTGTCCCCCTTATGCATGTCGAAAACATGCACAACACAAATTCTGAACATGCTACAGACAATCCTAAACGTATGTATGTACATAGGTACTATATTAATCTCACATTCTTATGGGTCTTGGCCCATTGGGTAGTAAAGCAATGAATACATCGATTTCTAAAGCTGAATCAGAAACAAAACTTTTTAACATTCAACTTACCTTTTAGAAAATTTGATTCAATTTTCAAAGAACTAAAGTGAAGGAATGTTTGACAATCATAGTGAACATACTAGGTAGTAGGGTATACATAGTCCATATAAAATTTGAACGTCAAAGTTCGAATTTTATAAATAAAATAAATATAATAAAATTGATATCAAATTCTGTTCATGGGAAGTGGAGTAAAAGCAGATTACACAGGGTGTACATACATTTTTTAAATAGGTAAATAGTGATTTATGGTATTTATTGAGCCATGTCAAATTAACCTAATTTTGTTACAATTAGATATATTGTATGGGTAATATACAAATATTTCAAACTTCATAAAACGTTCCGTGCAAAACTACTCAAAACCTCACACTAAGCAGTAAAGTAATCGTGTAACTTATCACATTCTGAAAATATTGTACCTTAGTTTCCCTATTCAGGCAAAATATTTTGCTCCCACCTACTCCCGCATACAATCTTAACGCCCTCACAGATAATATTTTCCTCTTAAAGTATATCACATCCTTTTCCAACACCCATCT